TCCGAGTACTAGGCTTTAACCAAAAATTTGTATTTTCTTTTCATGGTAGCAACCCCCAAAAACTAAACTAAAAAGTTGAAACAAAATTGTATAATTTTATTAAACAACAAAAAACAGAATTGGGAGTGTCCTACCAGCGGAGACCAAGCCCCCCCAAGCGCACACGCTGCGGTGACAGAGCACCCCAAGCCGTCAGCATCAGCTGGCAAGAAGACAAAGCTGGACCAACCCTGAACGTCATCGTCTGCGAACGCGCGAGGGAGAAAGGGGAAAAAGGGGTCCGGGAATATAAAAATTTTATCAAACAGAATTGGAGTGTCCTTGCAGCGGCTGCCCCCCCCGCGGAGCATAGCTGGAGAGCCAAAGCTGACAACCCAACGTCACGTCTCGCGGGGGGGGGGGGGTCAATATGTCATGTCAATAGCGGCCGCACTGGCCAAGATTGGCACACACCCGAGGGTAACCAGATGGCTCTCAGGACCAGAACGATAAGCGGCAATCCAGGCTCCTCCTCGTCAAGGGAGGAGTTATATCCCCTCTTCTGTGTAACCTGGTCCTCGACGACCTTCTTCTTCAGCTTGGGAGGAGCGAATATAAGGTTACGGCCTATGCTGCCTATGATCTAGTAGTACTGGTAACGGGTAAATTCCTGCCGACAATCAGTGACCTTCTGGATTCTGCACTGGAAACGACCGCCAGCTGCGCACGGCAGAACGTTTTGTGGGTCAATCCTCAAAAAACAGAACTGGTGCTGTTCTCACGAAGATATATGTAAGATACCAAGATTCAAACTACCAGCAATTAGTAGAACGACACTCGAGCTATCGAGTCTTTGTCTGTCCGTCTTTCCAGACTTAAGTGATATAACCCCGTTACAAAAAAATATCATCCAAGTCGAGCGCATGTCCCTTCTTTCGTATCCCCTTTTCGTCATCGTTAAATATACAAATTTTCCGCCACCAACGCTCGGTTTTGTTTGTAATTTTTAAAATTAGAATAACTCTTCTAAAATTTCAACAATTATTCCAGAGATTTTCTAATATTTTTATCCTGTCCAAAAAATAGTTTTCCGAAAGATCTTCAAAATACACCTCCTCGGTGTCGATGATCTCCTCGTGTTAGCTAAATTTTGTATTGATGAGACATCTTTTGATGTTTGGAAAGAGATAATAGTCCGATGGAGCAAAATTAGGCGAATAAGGAGGATGGGGAAGCAATTGGAGCCTGGCCTAACACTATTTCGGAGTGCGCTCGTGCTCGTGTTTTTGGTCTGTAGTGTGCAAACGCAGCACCCAGCGGCAGGATAGCTTTTTCATATACAGAATCTCGCTCAAAAATTGGCGTACTAATCCTTGTGGCATCTGCTAGCTCATACATCTCACTTTCCGGTCAGCCAACCATTTCATCTATTTTTTTAACATTTTCTTGTGTAACCTAATCGGACCATTAAATTTTTGAAAGCAATGTTTTCTGTGGTAATCTGAGAAAGCATTAGCCCCACAATATTTATCAAAATTTTCTTTTTTTTTTCCTTTGCCGTTTTGCTTCTCCAAAAATACTTTTTTATGAACGAACGCAAACTTTTTGTTTTCCATACGCAAAGTAGTGACAAACTCCTCAATAACAAACAATAACAAACTTGACATGTCAGCATAAATAAGAATGGACTATAAGCCACCAATAATTTGGTTGCGATTTTGGTGGTAAAGGAGGTTACTTTTTACCCCACCTAGTATTATAGCCAGAATGAAGAAATTAATTTTCAGTTTCTAGCCCTTTCCAGCGCTGGAGCGCTACTTATTCTCGCGCTGGCACACTCTGTCCGTGTAGTGTGTGTGCGCCCTCTGGCGGAGGAAATGTAGAATTTACATTGTAGATGTAGATGACAGAGCACACTGGCTCCGCTGTATGGAGCAGCGTCCAAAAATACTTCTAATGGAGCTAGCGGGCTGAAATTTGTTACCAATGCTCTTAATAAATAATGTAAGAATATGGCGTTATATGGAATGGGACATTCCCACCCCCAATTAAAAATGCAACCTTTAAAACAGAAAAACATTTTTTAACTAAAAAAAATTATTTAAATATTTTAATGATTCGAGACTATAAAAACATTTACAAAACGAGAAGGAACGCGTAAGTCGCTTCTGGGAACGCGACTCTACTTATATCCGTACTCAGTCAGTATATACATTTTAGAGGATATGATTTTTTAGAATTTTAGAATTAAAAAAAATTTTTACATTTTACAATTTTGCTACATCTGTTATCTACATCTACATACAATGTATATTCTACATCTAACATGTAGATTGTAAATGTACCATTTAGATTCTACATCATCTCCGCTAGGGGTTGCTCGCGCACTGAACGCGGCAGAGTGTGCGAGCGAGAAAGAGAATGAGTAGCGGGTCTGTCTCAGGCTGGCGGAGGAGGAGGAACCAACAGAAGATTAATTTCTCATTCTGGCTATAATTATGATCCGATCTGATTCAGATTTGGCAATCTGGTAGATATGGGCATTCTCTACGATACTGTTTTTTAGTTTTTAGTTTTAGTTTTATTGTATGTTTAAAATTGTGGCTGCCACAGATTTTCGTCCTATGTGGGACGAAATTTTGAAATACACTTGTAGCAGTGTGATATCACATGAGTCTGGAAACCAAATTTGGTTTTTCTAGCTCTTATAGTCTCTGAGATCTAGGTCTCTGATCGAGACGGACAGACGGACGGACGGACAGACGGACATGGCTATATCGACTCGGCTATTGATGCTGATCAAGAATATATATACTTTATGGGGTCGGAAACGTTTCCTTCTCTGCGTTGCACACATCCACTTTTACCACAAATACAATATACCCCTTTTTGAGTACGGGTATAAAAACGCAGTATCGTAGAGAATGACCATATCTACCAGATTGCCAAATCTGAATCAGATTCGATCATAATTATAGCCAGAATGAAGAAATTAATTTTCAGTTGTTTCCCTCGCCTCCTCCACAACTCATTCTCTTTCTCGCTCGCACACTCTGCCTCGTTATGTAAACGAGCGGCCTCTAGTACATGGTACATTTAGAATCAACATGTTAGAAGTAGAATATACATTGTATATGTGGATGTAGATAACAAATGTAGCAAAAAAATGTAAAATGAAAAACTTTTTTTTAAATTTCTAAAATTCTAAAAAATCATAAGCTCAAAAATGTATATATGGACTGAGTAGGGGTATAAAAGTAGAGTCGTGGCAAAGAAGCGACTCAACGTTCCCCCCCGTGCCAATTTATTTTTTAACAGCTGTATTCCAATTAACTTAAAGGTAATTATTGAAACCAGATACAAAAACCTTATGAAGGTCAAACATTACTCTTATGTAAGTCAAACTATGCCAAGCTGAACCGTTATAAAACCTTTAATGCCATAATTATTTTAATTTTATTTTTCACCTGACTTAAGTATCTTAAATCTGGTTGTAATTAAATTTGCCATTTTGAAAAACTTGGACACAAGCACTTCATGATTTTAGCTGAAAAACATATAGCTTTCAAATTCAAAATTTATGATTCTTGTGCGGTATTTGTTCTAAAATTTGGACTTTAAAACTCAGGAAAAGTCGAAAAAACATTATATTATTCGTTGTGGTATTTATTCGTGGCTAAATATGAAGAGCAAAAAGATGTTCGTCAAAGGCAGACGGAATACAAATCAAAACGGGAGACGAGAGAGCGTCCCTTCACTGCGACTCATACATACATATGTATGTACTTATGCGGGATAATGCAATGCATTGCGTATACGTGCATTAATAAGGTGTCGTTTTAAGTATTGCTCATAAAAATCTATGGAGAAATGGCTGAGCGAAAATTGCTTGACCTACCCTCCGAAAATAACATTTTACCATTTGGAACGTGCTGGCACACCAAGCAATGCTTGTTTTGACATTTTTGAATTTTACATGTAACAAAATTGGTATTACATACCAAGTAAACAAGCATTTCTTGGTGATATGTAAAACGGAGTTCATTTACTACATTTATTTCTTTTCAAAAGTGTAAAGTTTATTAGAACCAAATGTAAGATACATAAGTTATGTGTCGAGTAGTGATTAAAAGAGAATTTTTAGTTTAACTAAAAAAATAAATAAAAAAGCATGCAATTTTTAATCAGCGTTATTCAGCGTCAGCGTTATCAGCGTCAGCGTTATCAGCGTCTCGCTGATATGCTTGCTCTAAGAATGCATTTAATAAATTAGAGATTCGTAGCTATCGTCGATGCAGCTTTAAAACAAAAATATTCAAGTTCTGAAATTTGCAAGTCCATACGCACTTGTCCACTTGGCGGAACTATATAGAATTAATCTGGTATTACCAATGTATCACTTCCATAATATGTAAAGTTTTGTTTATCAGTAAATTAGCTTAATAGTAACTCTGTAATGAACTAATATCTACAATAAAGAAACAAATCATAGCTAAAAAATTTGAGTATGAATATGTCTGTCTGTATGTATGTCTGTTATTATTGGCTGATATCTTACATGTACGCTCCTTCTGAAAGTAGCTTCGTTATTGTTAATTGTCGCTTCGGCTGAAAGATTTTCGAAATAATCAATAATAATACAATAATCGAATAAATCAACCACCAGGATATGGCTTAATGACGCCATGGCTTCCTATGATTGTCAATCCTTCTGTATCAACACCCTTAAATGGTAGACAAAGCTGTAGTTATTTCGCGAAGCAATGGACTTCTACAACCAGTATGAAAAGTCTTGTCGTATGAAATTTTATTTGGCTTTGAAGTCAGACGACCAATAAATCGGGGATGAATGGATGGTCCCTTCACAGTACACCAATCCAAATATATTTCGTTACTATGCCACATTTATTAAATTGAGATTTGATTCTCAACAAATCTTTTTGACAATGTTGAACAATTATGTTCATATAAAAAAAAGTTATGTCGTAAAACAATAAATGTTTGAATAAACACATATTTGCTGCTTTTGTTTGATATTTATTATTTTTGCAAGTGCATTTACTAACAATTTAAGTCTATTTCAACTGTTGTTGTAAGCATTACCCCGACCAACCCATGTATTAGTCGTCGCCACCAGTCATAACTTCCATAAATTCTATAAATTAAAAATAGTCATTACATACACATGTCTCACGCTCGAAGAAATTATTTTGCAAACCATCAAAATCCACGGTTCCTGATCCATCCGAATCTATTTCTTCAATCATCATGTCTAGATCATCGTTAGTCAGTTTATCATCTAATTCTCGCAGAATTTCTCGAAGAACGCCTGTTGTTATATAACCATTTCCCTCTTTATCATAAAGGCGAAAGGCTTCCTTTAATTCTTGCAGCATTGCCTCGGCATCCTCTTCAACAAGAAATCGGGCAGCCAATGTCGTAAATTCTTCAAATTCAATCTGACCCGATCCATCTTCATCTACTTCAGCGATAATGTCGGCCAATGTCGCGTCATCTAATTGGTGACCCAACATGCTGAGAATGGTTCCAACCATAGCAGTATTGATGTATCCATTTTTTTCGGGATCGAATGCATTGAATGCATTACGAAGCACTGTATTAAAATGTTTAAGTGAGAAAGTCTGAATCGAAAGTTAAGAGTATGTGAGCAGACTTACGCTCGATTTGTTCTTTCGTCAATTCATCCTAAAAAAACACGGAGGTAAGAAAGGTTAATATTTTCCTTTTAACCACTTAGTATCTACTAATTATAATTAGATAATGATCTATAAGCCTACCAAAAGATAAAAAGTAGGTATTGACAAACAAAGTCCTATTCTTATTTTAATCATTAAAAATCTCTTCGATTTTTTTTTTCTATTTGAATTATTTAAAAAAAATTATCAAAATTAACCCTTCTGTTATGTAAAACAAAAAATATTTTTTTACAGATTTCAGCATAAACATGAAAATTATTAACAAATCTATACAATATATTTTTAGAAAAAAATCGGTGTGTATTAGTCGTCGCCACCAGTCATAACTTTCATAAATTCTATAAATTAACAATAGTCATTTCCTACATATGTCTCACGTTCGAAGAACGTTGTAGCTATCTCCGCAACGAGTGCAACAAATTGGAGGCTGTTTTTTTTTAATGATAGCCAGAGAATGTAACAGGTTTGCACAAACAAATGTATACTTTTTTTAAATAGGTTCCTCAGGAACTAAAAATTAATCAAAAAAATCTTAAATTTGCTCCAAAAGTGTGTGTTTGAACGTCTATTTCATTTAATTTTATGTTATTCTGTAGAACAGAACATTTTATGAAAGATTTTGTTTTTAAACCTTTTTGTATGAAAAATTTTCTGAAAAAATTTCAAATTTGTGTAAGTATATTTGTTGCTTTTAATTACACTGCTCGACAAAATCGAACTTTTTTTCCTCAAGGATCCAAAACGACTTTTTCTGATAGATGTGGGATTTTAAATTTTTTTAAAGAATTATCGTTTTTTTTTTTTTGAAGAATTTTTGAAGTCTGGTATTTTTTTTAAGCTTTTTTCAGAGGTAGCACTTATTTTTTTCACATAACTCTAGTATCTTACGCCTGGTTGTAAAGAACTTTGCTATTTTGAAAAGATAATTAGTTCCTTTTTTCGTTATACCCAATCTGAGGTAGGATACCTGTTCAGGTCAATTGGTTCCTTTATATTCTCTGATGTTTATGTTAAATCGTCCAAGAGCTAATTAAGAAAAAACGAGAAGGAACGTGTGAGTCGCTTCTGGGGACGCGACTCTACTTATACCCGTACTCAGTCAGTATATACATTTAGTATATTATTTAGAATTAAAAAAAACGAGAAGGACGTGTGAGTCGCTTCTGGGGACGCGACTCTACTTATACCCGTACTCAGTCAGTATATACATTTTTGAGCATGATTTTTTAGAATTTTAGAATTAAAAAAAAAATTTTACATTTTACATTTTTTTGCTACATTTGTTATCTACATCTCATCTACAATGTGTATTCTACATCTAACATGTAGATTGTACATGTAAAATTTAGATTCTACATCTCCTCCGCTAGGGGTTGCTCGCGCACTGAACGCGGCAGAGTGTGCGAGCGAGAAAGAGATAGGTACCGGGTCGTTGGCAGGGGGATGCAGAGGAAGCAACAGAAAATTAATTTCTTCATTTTGGCTATAATTTTTATCCGATCTGATTCAGATTCGGCAATCTGGTAGATATGGTCATTCTCTACGATACTGCATTTTTAGTTTTATCTTATCTTTAAAATTGTGCCTGCCACAGATTTTCGTTCTTTGTGGGGGCGGAAGGGGGCGGGGCGAAATTTTGAAATACACTTGTAGCAGTGTGATATCACATGAGTCTGGAAACCAAATTTGGTTACCCTAACTCTTATAGTCTCTGAGATCCAGGCGCTCAACAAGACGGACAGACGGACGGACGGACGGACGGACAGACAGACATGGCTATATCGACTCGGCTATTGATGCTGATCAAGAATATATATACTTTATGGGGTCGGAAACGTTTCCTTCTCTGCGTTACACACATCCACTTTTACCACAAATCTAATATACCCCTTAACTCTTTTTTGAGTACGGGTATAAAAAAAATTGGGGCCAATATGTCACCAAAAGTTCATTTTCTGCACTCCCACTTGGACTTTTTTCCGACAAACCTAGGCGACGTTAGTGATGAACACGGAAAGAGATTTCATCAACAATTCAAATCTATGGAACAACGTTATAAAGGTGTTTGGAATGAGAACATTATGGGCGACTATGTGTGGAATCTCATAAGATAATCTGGTTCGAATGAAAAAGGAAAACAGCCAGAAAACTTAAATTATTAAAAAAAAAAAAACAAGCATTAGCAAACCAAATGTATCACTTATGTAGCAACATAACACCAAACAAAAAAGTTTGTACATATGTATATCTTTAGAATTGACTGAAACGACTAAAAATTACTGATTGCTGTATGGGTTAAAGAATGAAATCCCATATCTCAGGTCCTTCTATTTCTAATTTTTGTGGACCTGCACTTGTGAGAATATAAAGGAAACATTTGACCTGAACAGGTATCCCTACCTCACATTGGGTATAACGAAAAAGTAACTTTCAACAACATTTCATACCAAAAGAACGCGATCAGGTACCAAATGTAAAACCGTTTTAAGTTTGCTTTGTTTACAACTGGCAGTTGGGCCCGCAACCATCGAAAAGGTATTTTTTGTTCATTTTTTTAATTTTTTAGGTTTGGTTAACGAATTTTAGCTCCAAAGTCTCTGCATAGATTTTAATGAGCGATACCTTAAACGACGCCAAATTAATGCACCTATAAACGAAAAAATAGAGGACACAGGATATAATTTTTTTTTTCGACTTTTCCTGAGTTCTTAAAGTCAAAATTTCGTAAAAAATACCGCACAAAAATCATCATTTTTGCATTTCAATGCTTTATATTTTCCAGACGGTAAGCTGAAATCAAAAGTGCTTGGGCCTACCTTCTAGCTGTTTTAATTATCTTTTCAAAATAGCAAAGTTCTTTACAACCAGACGTAAGATACAAGAGTTATGTGAAAAAAACAAGCGCTACCTCTGAAAAAAGCTTAAAAAAATACCAGTTTTCAAAAATTCTTTAAAAACGAGGGAGTGGTCGTTTCTGGCCACCCGACGGTATACTCCTTTTGGTTGATTTTTATTTAAATTTTTTTGCTCAACCGATTTACACTACTTAGACAATACACCCCCCAGGGGGGCCTGGGGGGGGGGGTTGTGTTGTGGGGGGGGGGGCGGGGCCTTCACTGACTTGACCGACTGGGTCCGTTAGTTTCGTTCTTATTGTGCCGCCCAGATTTCGTCTTGTGGGGGGGAGGGGGGGGGGACGGGAACAGGGGCCATTGGGCCCGCCAAGCTCGACCACGAGCGCAGACGACGACGGACAGACGGCAGACGGACAGACAGACGGCGCCGGCAGAGCTGGACGGGGGGACGTTCCCTGCGTACACCATACACTTTACCACAAACTAATACCCTTAACCTTTTTGGACGGGTATAAAAAGTTCTGCCATAGAAAAAAAAATATATCATCAAACCATTTCTATGCCCCAAATCTTTAAGAAAAAGTTCGTTTTGTTCCTTGAGGAAAAATAGTGTTGACTAGTGTTATAAATGATTTTTATTTTTTTTGCTCAAAATAAAACTCAACAGTAAGTAATGGTCTCTGCGTTTGTCTTTTCACCAATATTATTTCATATCCTTGTAAAGGGAACACAAAGCTACCCCACACGCTTAACTGTTCTTTCTAATTAATTTTTGTGACGTAAATAGTATTTTAGTTTTTTGTGGACTTAGGAGCCTGCCTGATGCCATTAAACCGATTTATGTTGGTTAAGGTTTATACATTAAAAACGGATGGTTCTTTTGGTGTACCGCTTCACCCCAAAATTAAAAAAAAACTCGAAAAAGGAGCACTTTCGAAATACCCCCATAATTTGTTGTCGATATTGAAAATGTTCAAATCCAAATGCATAAAAATGAAGAAAAATACCACACTACAATCATAACTTTTGCATTTGAAAGCTATATATTTTCAAAACGGTAAGCTGACAAAAGCTTGAAAAAGAAAAAAAAAAGATTTCAAAAATTCTTCAAAAAAAAAGTTGTCACCGTAAAAAAAAAAATTTTCACTAAGCATGTTTAAAGCCCCAAATCTATAAAAAAAAAGTGGTAATGATCTGATCAGTACCAGATTCAGCAATCTGATGGATATGTTCATTATCGACGATACTGGGTTTTTAGTTTTATACACTTGTAGCAGTGTGATTTCATATGAGCCTGGAAACCAAATTTGGTTGCCCTAGCTCTTATAGTTTCTTAGATCTAGCCAGAGTCTCTGAGACAGACAGACAGACAGACGGACAGACAGACATGGCTATATCGACTCGGCTATTGATGCTGATCAAGAATATATATACTTTATGGGGTCGGAAACGTTTCCTTCTCTGCGTTACACACATCCACTTTTACCACAAATCTAATATACCCCTTAACTCTTCTAGTACGAGTATTAATAAATGGTTTATTTTGTGTAAATTTTTTTATGTCTATCCGATTACACTAGTCAACACGATTTTTCCTCAAGGAACAAAACCAACTTTTTATTAAAGATTTGGGGCTTAGAAATGGTTTGATGATATTTTTTTTTTTTCTATGCCAGACCTTTTTTTTGAAAAATTTTTGAAAACTGGTATTTTTTTTAAGCTTTTTTCAGAGGTAGCGATAACAAAGCAAACGAACAAGGGTTGTACATTTGGTACCTGATCGCGCTCCTTTGTTCCCAATGGGCAGTTGGGCCCGCAACCTTCCAAAAGGTATTTTTTGTTCATTTTTTCCATATTTTAGGTTTGGTTAACGAATTTTAGCTCCAAAGTGTCTCCATAGATTTTAATAAGCGAAACCTTAAACGACGCCAAATTCATGCACCTCTACACAAAAAATAGAAAACACAGGATATATTTTTTTTCGACTTTTCCTGAGTTTTTAAAGTCAAAATTTCGTAAAAAATACTTCACAAAAATCATCATTTTTGCATTTCAATGCTTTATATTTCCCAGACGGTAAGCTGTAATCATAAAGTGTTTGGGCTTAACTTCTAGCTGTTTTAATTATCTTTTCAAAATAGCAAAGTTCTTTACAACCAGACGTAAGATACTAGAGCTATATGAAAAAAACAAGCGCTACCTTTGAAAAAAGCTTAACAATAAAATACCAGACTTCAAAAATTCTTCAAAAAAAAGTTCTGCCATAGAAAAAAAACCATAATTCTTTAAAAAAATTTTAAATCCCCATATCTATCAGAAAAAGTCGGTTTGGATCCTTGAGGAAAAAAAAAGTTCGGTTTTGTCGAGTAGTGTTATTAAATTGATTTGTTTTTAAAGTTTATTATTATTCGTAAGATTATCTGAAGCAGTAAACACACAAATATCGAAAACTCTTCACTAAAGCTAAAGCCAAGAACTAAACCGTAACGTCGTGTGTGTGTGTGTTGTTAAGAAAACCCCCTATTCACTTAATTTTCAGCATTTTTGTATTCATTTTTATAGATGCGGTAAGAAAGACTTACGCTCATTTTGACAGTTCAAGGATATTCCGTTATTCTGAATAATGTAATTATATTTTCTTGGGATTTTAATTTTTTTACACAAATGCATACGATTTAAGAACACTTTTCTACAACGAATCAGCAAATAAAAAATTCGCAGATATAGGCGTGTTTGATTTGAAGATTGTTTCTAAACAAATAATTTTTTTGGTTGCTGGTATAAATGTATATTTGTATATCTATACTGGCTCTATTTTACGAGCACAACGTTATTGTCGTTTGCTCAATAGTTCAAGAAAGCTATATGGTAACACCTTTAGGGCTAATATCAAAGATCCCACAGCCACCGCAGTCCCCTGTTATTACGATCGAAGACAGGGAATAAATATAGTCTTCCCTATTACGCGATCCAAACACATTTTGTATCTCTAGCCATCAACGACATGAGTCGCAGCATCGGATGCGACACAAATCACAAACTGCACTCGCGGCAGTAGTTGCCAGTATTTTGAAAAAAACACAATTAAAATAAATTTTAAGTGAGCATAAACATTGTGTTCGTCATGTTCCTCTCTGAATATTTGTGCTAAGGTGTTCGGAGATCATCATACATTCTCTCCATTTGAAAAATTTCCCTAATTTCCCTGGTTCGTTATTTTATTAATAGATTTACAATAAGCTACAAATTCTTGATAGAAAAATATTTCTTGGTAATATTCTTCAACCTTAGGCCTCATTATATTGCACTATATTTTTGCCTGAAATATACTGATCCGTATTTTAAGTAGCTTATCGTGCAGAAGTGTATACTGCTAATTCTTATTTGCATATATATATATATATATACTTTTTTATATTAAGAAACTGACGAAGCTACAAAATTTACATAATTTTTTACATAATTTATATTAGGTTAGTAAGAAATAAAGAAACAAAAACAGTGTACAATTTGCTCAACAATCAAAAACATACCACAACACCAGTAGGGAATATAGTGAGCCGATTCGAACAATTGCAATGGTAAATCAAACAGAACTTTTATTATTTACCCAGAATCGAAGCAACTTTTTCCGATATACTTCAAGATCCGAAAAACGGACATATGTACGTTATCTACATGGTACTCAAATAATACATACGAATAAATTCGTCAAGATGTAACAGGCAGAAGGAAAAGTTTCCTTACAGTTTCCCCTCCGTTTTGCACTGTGTATTTGTGTATTGCACTAAATTAAGTTGGCTTTTTGCCTGCACCCACCCCCTCAAATCTCCGGAATTATCATATCTACCAGATTACGGAAACAAGATGAGATAAGATGAAAACGTCCAGTAGCTGACTGCCCTGCCTTGGCCTCGGTAACTATTTCTTTCTCGAACAGTGTTGCGCCCTGGCGGATTGAATGATAGAACGGCCGGATGTTACTTTGTTGGTGCAAAGAGGGCGAGTGAGACGTAACGGACGGCGCGTTATCCAAAAAATATTAACTGCATAGATATCCAAGTTATAGGACTTTAAACCTATTCCTTGTTTAATTGTTTTTTATTGAATCTGAATAAAAATACAACATTAAACAATCAGAAATTGTGAGTAATTTTGTAAAAATTTATTCAAAATAGGATTTCATCTAAAGGTCGAACAGAAAGTTTAAAGCTAGCGCCAAATAGAAGGGAAGAAATATCATTGGCAACTTTGAATCTCTATTCTTTTCCACACCATGAAACTTCAAAAATAAAAATATTCTGTACATACAGGGCCGTGCCAAGAGGGGCGAAGGTTGCATTTTCCCCGGGCTCCACAATTTAGGGGCGCGGATTTGGATTCAAAACTACGGAAAAAATAAAACATCTGCTGCGCTGAGGCTCGAGACATTTCTCGAACATTATTAAGCTGAATCATGTACAATCAATGTACATAGTTGTTTTGGCAATTTGTCTCGGCTCGGCGCTGCTGAAGGCATTGACGAAAAAAATTTATGATTTGTCAAAAATGTACGGGCAGACTGTATTTGGCGGTCGAAATTTTAATTTTTGCCCATACAAAATCTTTATACATATTTGTGTAGCGCTGTTTGTGGAATCAACAACCCACGACCTGATTTTGTATACCCGTACTCAAAAAGAGTTAAGAGTATTTGTGGTAATAGTGGATGTTTATAACGCAGATAAGGAAACCTTTCCGTCCCCATAAATTATATATAAATTATAAATTCATAAATTATATTCATGAACAGCATCAATAGCCGAGTCGATATAGCCATGTCTGTCTGTCCGTCCGTCTGTCAGTCTTGATGAGCGCCTATATCTCAGAGACTATAAGAGCTAGAGCAACCAAATTTTGTTTACAGACTCATGTGATATCACACCGCTACAAATGTATTTCAAAATTTCGCACCGCACCCTTCTGTGACAGTCACGATTTTAAAGATACCAGAAAAGTAAAATATGGTAGAGAATGATCATATCTACCAAATTGACGAATCTGAATCAGATCGGATTATTATTATAGCCAGAGTAAAGAAATGCATTTTCAGTTGCTTCCACTGCTATGCAGTGCGCGGCCTTTCGCAGAGAAGATGTAGAATCTACATTGTAGATGTATAATCTACATTTCAGATGTAGAATAAAATCTTCCAATCCGGAGTCCTCGGTTCAAAGTCTGGGCTGGATTATCTTTTTTCTTTTTTTCTTTTACAAATATTTTTTTCTTAAGCATTATTTTTTTTACGCACAGAAACGCTTTTCTTTGCTATCCGTAAAGAAGAAGCCCAGAAGAAGCACCAGAAGCCCGTAAAACTTGCATTTTAAAATTGACCAGCCAAAATCATGTTTAGTCTGTAGGCTGCATTGCCGCCTTCAACAACTTTATTTATTTTGTTACATATATCCAATATTCGCCTTTTAGCTGCTCCTCCTTCTAGTGCAAAATACAATTTTTTTTAGTCGCTCTATTTTGGCAGTTTTTTAGTGCCATCAAATAATGGGTTGTACGAATTGGCCCCTTGAAATTTCACTTTTTCATATTCCGGGCATTTTTTATCTTTTAACATAACGTTGTGGTAAGACAAAAAATCAAACATTTCTGCCGTCATTTCTGTCTCATATAAAAAAGTTCGCAAAGTTTGATATTTTATTCAAAACCATTCATAACTATGTAAACATTTTGCATGGGCAAAAATGAACATTGAAAATTAAAAAAGAACCATGTCCGATTGCCAAATACTTCCTGCACGTAAGTTTTTGACGAATCCCAGTCCATTATTTGTTTTTTTTGTTTTTTTTTTTTTTTGCAGCATAGGCTCGTTTATTGAAAATTTACCGTCAGATCAGGATCATCAGGATGGAATTCCTCTAGACGGAGAGGCGAAGGAGGATGAATTTCAGTTAACAGAATTTGTAAAAAAAAGAATGCTCCACCCAACAAAATATTTTAATATAAAGCTTCGGAGCGCCGTTTTACAACTTCGCCCCGGGCACAAATTTTTCTTGGCACGGCCTTGCTTACAAATAAAAAAAATTATATAGGAATGCATTTTTAATATTTTGTTGCATATCCTTTAACCGGGGGTTTACTTACTTGTATAACATGGTGTTAAATTAGCGTGGCTTATAAAGCTGCGAAATGTTCATCAACATTTTCTGGGGTAGTTTCAAAATTATCTTAATACACCTTTTGGTAGAATGCGCGCCTTGTGTTACATATTTCAATGGAAATGGAAAGAGGGCAGGACAGGTCTCCAAGCGTCAGGACTGGTTTATTTGTGTGCGTCATCGTTATTCTCGTGTTTTCTTTTACGTTTTTTTTTCTCGACTTTTCGGGCCAATAAGACAATATATATATAAAAATCTCGTGTCACGGTGTTTGTGGATGAACTCCTCACAAACGGCTCGACCGATTCTTATGTTGTATATTAAGTAGGTCGTTAAATATTTTTGGTCTTCATATGTTTGTGTTTTTTTTTATCAAGTAGGGCTTTGATTTAGTTGTCAGTATGTTTTGTGATATAATCTCGATCTTATATTTGTTTGAGTGTTTTTTTTATGTTTTTTTATGATTTCGGTCAACTTTTTTTACACACTAAACAATGTCAGCATGACGCAAGGGGCCCAGTCGCACCATTCGCAAATAAAATGTGTGCTTCCAAATGACATCGTTCGGAGCAACAGAAATAGTCAACAATACTGCGGCAAATGGTCAACATTTAAAATCAATGGACAAGTTTACCACAAAGTAGGCTCATAGCTGCCATTGTCACATCAGTTTTTATCAAATATACTTCGTGGGTGGAGAGGATATAAATAGCGAAATCGCGTAGATGTACGTTGCGGTGACTATAACCTCAATTCGGTAATAGCCAGGCTCATAGCTTGACAATTAATTATTGAAATTATTCATCAAACAAAAAATGTTTAATGAGACTCATTTCACAATTTCACGTATTCAGTTGAATGGCAATTTGGTAAGTCGACAAAATATGCCCCCAGATAACACTAGTCAACACGATTTTTCCTCAAGGAACAAAACGAACTTTTTCTTAAAGATTTGGGGCATAGAAATGGTTTGATGATAATTTTTTTTTTCTATGGCAGAACTTTTTTTTAAAGAATTTTAGAAAACTGGTATTTTTTTAAGCTTTTTTCAGAGGTAGCGCTTGTTTTTTTTACATAACTCTAGTATCTTACGTCTGGTTGTAAAGAACTTTGCTATTTTGAAAAGATAATTAAAACAGCTAGAAGTTAAGCCCAAGCACTTTGTGATTTCAGCTTACCGTCTGGAAAATATAAAGCATTGAAATGCAAAAAAGATGATTTTTGTGCGGTATTTTTTACGAAATTTTGACTTTAAAAACTCAGGGCCCAACTGCCAATTGGGAACAAAGCAAACGAAAAAGGGTTGTACATTTGGTACCGATCGCGATCCCAACTCCTAATTGGCAGTTGGGTCCGCAACCATCGAAAAGGTATTTTTTGTTCATTTTTGTCATTTTTTAGGTTTGGTTAACGAGTTTTAGCTCCAAAGTCTCTGCATAGATTTTAATGAGCGATACCTTAAACGACGCCAAATTAATGCACCTATAAACGAAAAAATAGAGGACACAGGATATAATTTTTTTTTTTTCGACTTTTCCTGAGTTCTTAAATTCAAAATTTCGTAAAAAATACCGCACAAAAATCATTATTGTTGCATTTCAATGCTTTATATTTTCCAGACGGTAAGCTGTAATCACAAAGTGTTTGAGCTTAACTTCTAGCTGTTTTAATTATCTTTTCAAAATAGCAAAGTTCTTTACAACCATACGTAAGATACAAGAGTTATGTGAAAAAAACAAGCGCTACCTCTGAAAAAAGCTTAAAAAAAAACTACTAGTTTTCAAAAATTCTTTAAAAAAAAGTTCTGCCATAGAAAAAAAAAAAATATAATCAAACCATTTCTAAGCCCCAAATCTTTAAGAAAAATTTCGTTTTGTTCCTTAAGGAAAAATCGTGTTGACTAGTGTAATAAAAGAAATAGTTCAAATTTCCATATTCGAAATTTCATATAGAAACGAATACAATGGCTCTGGAGGATGAGTCAAAACGGTAAATTTTTACCTTTCCACCAGCTCAGCATAGGCAGGGGTTTCCGATTGAAACTTCAATGCATTGGAATGCTGGCATACGACAGACAATGATCCGATATTAACGCAGCGAAGATCTGGGAAGGCTACTGCGCAATCGTAATTGTTATAGTGCCGTGCGAACCGTGCATTATGGGAACTCTCCATTCATTTACTTCGGCATTTACTTCTTACGTTAGATTAATAGAGACATTCCGATTACTTATTTCACGACGTTTACGTCGTCCAAGGTTTGATCATCTAATAGCAGGCATATAACTCAATTGATGAATAATATCTCGAGTTTAGAACTAATCGTCGACTATGACAAATGCCTCATCGCCCACTTCCGATCAAAGGCTGGTTTTTTTCAAAATTTTCTTCCGAAAAAATATTCTTTTGGTAAAACGAACAACTGAACAATATTTGAGCCAAATTGGGCCAGCCGTTCTCACGTGATGATGCACTATACATTTTAATCCTTCCAATTTTATATTTATAGATAAGGGCGGATCAATTTGTATGGAAAAAAAACCTGATAAGCGACCACCAGAATCGGATTCTACAAAGAATTTTAAGAATCTTTCACCCAAAAACTATGTTTCTAACATCAATTCTTAGCTCCCGCTGAGAAGCGGTGTGATGATTTCAGATTGCAGTATTTTTTAGTAGTTTAAGGAATTTAAGGTATTTTTGTTTAGTATTTTAAGAAATTTAAGGTATTACAAAAAATAACACATTTTTCGATCATGTTGGGCTCAAATCGGATGCAATAAATAAAAGTAGGCATGGACCTACTACATGGGTCCATACCCACTTAGTATTTGGCTTTCAACGAAAAAAAGTGTGCTTATTTCAATCTTACTGAACTTTTTAAATACGCTTGTATCAGTGGGATATCACATGAGTTTGGAAACAAAATTTGGTTGCCCTAGCTCTTATAGTCTCTGAGATCTAGGCGCTCAACAAGACAGACAGACGGACAGACGGACAGACAGACATGGCTATATCGACTCGGCTATTGATGCTGATCAAGAATATATATACTTTATGGGGTCGGAAACGTTTCCTTCTCTGCGTTACACATATCCACTTTTACCACAAATCTAATATACCCCTTAACTCTTTTTAAAGTACGGGTATAAAAAGTATATTTTTGTATTCCCGAAATTTTTTTATACGTGCTCTTTGCATAATCCTGTACCTAATTTTAAAATCCCTATCTGCAGTTTTGCGTTTTTTGCCTTCTACGTCGATAACAGTGACGCTACCTCCCACGAAAAACGTCAAAATTTGGATTTTGTATGGGAATTAGAGCTGGGACGATTTTCGTGCGAGGTAACGTCACTTAAACTTGCATTTTTGAAAGCTCTGGAAAATTCTTTATAGGATTCGTGTATTGGATTTATCCAAACCGTTCAAAAAATTCAATGTGCGGCCCAATGTGCGATGGCGCGTATTCATAAACGTGTAAATCAGTCTGAAAATATTTGATTGCATAGATACATTCATTAGCTGTTAATTGATGACCTGTTTTCATTTCACAAAGCAAAAAGTTTCATATTAAAAATGTATAAAATTTTGACTTTGCGGTCAAATAACACGAGTTTTCCTCAAGGTACAAACCCAACTTTTTCTTAAAGATTTGGGGCTTAGAAATGGTTTGATGAAATTTTTTGTGTTCTATGGCCGAACTTTTTTTGACGAATTTTTGAACACAGGTATTTCAAGTCAAAATATCGTAAAAAATACCGCACAAAAATCATCATTTTTGCATTTCAATGCTTTATATTTCCCGGTAAGCTGAAATCACAAAGTATTTGGGCTTAAATTTTAGCTGTTTTAATTATCTTTTTAAAATAGCAAAGTTCTTTACAACAAGACGTGAGATACTAAAGTTATGTAAAAAAGGGAAGCGCTACTTCTGAAAATAGCTTAAAATACAAAATTAAATATTGTCCAGGAAAAAAAAGATCGATTTTGTCGAGTAGTGTAATTTTAGTTTTGGCGCTATTAGCACCGAATTTCGTATGAGAACACCCTATCTCACATCACATCCCACCTTCGACGGTGCGGGATGGCTGAACGGGGTGAAGATCCTCAAGTGCAACGACGACCCGACGAGGAAGTCGCTGGTGCAAACGGCGCACAATTTGGAAGCTCTGTGGGAGGGGGCCAAGCTGGAGGTAGTGGACAGGGAGATGATCCCGTCAATCCCAAAGGCGAAGGTGCTCTTCCCCATTGCAGTCCAGGGGGACCGAGCACTGAAACTCCTCCAGAGGCAGAACACGGATGTGCCAACGGCTGACTGGAGAATCCTGCATGCTGGTATCCCATTACCCAATGAGGGGGGCCAGCACATGATCCTCCAGAACAATAAAGAGGCAGAAGACATACTCTACCCGAGATTCGGGAAGATGGAATGGGGCGTAGGCAGTGTCTACCTACGTCTCAAAAAGCGCCACCCCGAAGACAAGGACGCGCATACCCTGCGCGAGGTGGAAAAGGACCTAGGTCTGGAATCCATCGTGGAGGCCGCCCAGGATTTTGCGCTGGACGACTCTGATGCTGCAGAGGACGAGGACGGTGACCTGACTATAATAGTCAACCCGTCGTGTGCAGTTGAGCCAGCCTCCTATGATACTGAGAGTGCTGCAGCTCAACTTGCATAAAAGCAAGATTGCGTCGGCGGAGCTCCTCATTGCCATGGAGCAAGGGCCCGCCGTCAAAGCTTTGGTCCAGGAGCCATTGCCTCTGCCAATGCTGTGGCCGGACTAAATTCCTCCAATTATAACCTTTTGCACTCACCCTCGGTAAGCAGGACCAGAACCGCCGTAGTCGTACGAAAGGGCATCCATGCTTACCTTTCGTCTCATTACAGCCCAGATCACCTGACTGCGGTCATGCTAGAGAGCGAGGAAAAGCACCTTATGGAAGCTTCCTGCTATATGCTAACACACGGCAGGCCAGCTCCACCGGAAGAGCTAAGGAGCCTGGTGGCGGAAGCCCGCCCGAAAGACCAGCAACTTCTCTTTGGTACGGACGCCAATACCCACCATAGCGTGTGGGGAAGCCCCGATATCAACGACAGAGGTGAGTCACTTCTAGACTTTATACTATCAACTAACCTAGATGTAGCAAACGTGGGGTAGGAACACACCTTCGTAACTCTCACTTCGTCTAACGTACTAGATCTAACACTCGTAACTGGAAAGAGTACTTTGGTATCTGGCTGGGAAGTCCTTGCAAGACCATCGTTCTCAGACCACAAGTACATTCAGTTTAAGTGCGAATTGAAACACTCTCCGAAGATAACTGTCTGTCGAAATCCCCGGAACACAAACTGGGAAGAGTTTAAAAAGACAGTTACCTCGAAGCTCGCGACTCGCCCGGGCACAGTGAAATTCCCGAAAGACATAGAAACGTCCCTAGAGACCCTATCCAAGGAAGTACTATATGCGTACCACGCAGCACACCCACCCTCGAGAACGAAAAAGGGAACCAAACCACTCTGGTGGAACCGGGACTTATCGCTTCAAAGAAACAACCTCAAAGAATTCTTCAAAATCGCCAAACTGGCGAACGACGAGATAATCAATGATGAATACAAAACCCTATCAGGGAATACAAGAAGGAAATACGCAAGGCACAAAGAAACTCGTGGAGGAACTTCTGCTCCAATATCGAGAAAGTCCCAGAAACGGCCAGACTCCGGAAAGTTGCTATCAAAGCAACCCGCCATACAGAGTCAGCTGAAGTGAAATGATGGACAGTGGACTGAGGGCAGTGAAGAAGCCCTAACAGCACTAACGAAAGCTCACTTCCCAGGATGCACCGAGGTCGCTGACGCTACAGAGCATCAGGACCTAGCAACTGAGGAACAGCACCCTCCAACATATCTCATATCGTCTAAGAGAATCCACTGCGTTATAGACTCTTTTGCGGGTACAAAAGCACCTGGACGAGACGGAATATTTCCAGCCATGCTACAGGCGACCAAAGACCTGATCACCCCATGGCTCTCTGCAATATACTCAGCTTGCCTGAGCACAGGCTATATAACTATTCAATGGAGGACCTCGAGCATTGTCTTCCCTCCAAAGGCAGGAAAGTGCAGCCAAATGAGCCCCAATGACTACAGACCGATAAGCCTCCCCTGTTTTCTACTCAAAACACTAGAAAATCTGCTGGATCTACACATCAGGAACGATGTAGGGGGGCGGATGTCAACTAACCAACATGCCTACATCAAAGGGAAATCGGTAGAGACGGCACTGCATTCGCTAGTAGCCACCATCGAAAACGCCCTCCAAAATTAAAAGTATTCTCTAGGAGTGTACGTAGACATATCCGGAGCATTCAAAACGTGAATACGAGCGCGATAATGGACCGCCTAGAAGCGATCAACATACATCCCGCAATCAACCTCTGGTTAAAGAACCTTCTATGTTGTAGACGGGTGTATTCAGAGTGGGGCCTTTCACCTTTCCATGGTGAAAGGGGCACACAGAGGCACACCTCAGGGTGGGGTATTGTCGCCCCTCCTATGGAATCTGGTGGTCGACGACTTAATAAAGAGATTCGAGAGAAAAGCCCCAAAAATAACAGCTTATGCGGACGACATATGCATAATTATTACGGGAGTATGCCCATCGAGCCTTAGCTCTATAATGGAATCAACACTCAGGGAGATATGTGAGTGGGCGGGAAAAGTGGGACTCAGTATCAACGCGGACAAGACGGACCTCATCCTCTTCACCAAGAGGTACAAGGTGCCGGCATGGATCCCCCCGAAAATCTACAGAAATCTACCAGGCTCACCCCAAAAACACAAGTCAAATACCTCGACATAGTACTGGACAGTAAACTGACATGGAGACCCAATGTCTTGGAAAGGTTGAAGAAGAACACCATTGCGCTATATGCATCCAAGAAGATGCTTAGCAGCACATGGGGCCTATCACCTGCACTAATGCACTGGATCTACATTTCGGTAGTGCGATCGACTCAGCTGTATGGAGTCTTAGTGTGGTGGCAGGCTACGGAAAAGAAAACCTACAACAATCTAAAGGAGAGAACTCACCGGCAGGCACTGCTCTGCATCACTGGGGCGATGTGAACCCCAACAAAAGCACTCGAAACAATCCTCGGCATCGATCCCCTGGACATCTACGCTCAACTGACTGCAGCTAAGGCAGCACAACGCTTAGTCGTATCAGGCAATATGTCGCTGCAAGGATTCGGGCACAGTTCAATAGGCCAAGACATGATCAGTATATCTGACTACATGATACCCCGAACTTGCCTGGACGTCAAAACAGCGATACTCATGGGTCCCGACGACTGGAAAGAAAGTTGGGATCAGAATGAACACCTAAACATATACACAGATGGCTCCAAGATGGAAGGAGGAGTAGGAGCGGGCATATACTGTACTGGCGAACGACACGACTGAGAACGTGCCTGTCTTCCTCAGAACGCTTCAAAGCGATCTAGAGAGGCGGGCACACATACAGGCCAGGAGCAGGTGGAGAAGAAGTGTGGAACATCTAATCTGCCAATGCCCGGCACTCTCAAGGGCATGAAACAAACACCTTGGCGGCCCGGTACTGGCATCGCTGGAAGATGCATCCAGGAGGACGCCAGGGGAACTCCTTGCCTTTGCGAAAATCTCCTCGATCCTCACGGACTTCGAAACCGCGTAAAACACTCAGAAGATCCATACGCACTTATCCGGACAACTAAGGGCCATATTGGCCTATGCGTGGCCCCGTGAGGGCCGTCAGGGACAACCTAACCTAACCTAACCTATGAATTAAAATTTCATAAATTCCTGTTATTTTGGAACTTAAAACTGAATTGAAAAAGAGTTTTCTTGCGATTTTTCCATCGTTGAAAGATACTTTACCTCCATCTTTGGGTTTGTCG